CTAACTCTCTCTAACGCGAGCCACACTTGCTCTACACAGATATTTTATACATTTTTGTAATTACGACTTTGTGAATTGAGGAAATAAACTTGATTTCTTCAAAATGCTAAGGAATCAGAGTTAAGGTGAGAGGTTTCATGATGTGACGTTTTGAAGTTCCGCAGTCTTTGTGATTTGAAGAATTCAATTTGGCCCAAATCAGAGTTTCAGTCTAATTCTGACATTCGGAATTGGACTCTGATTCAGGTAAAATGAGGTTTTAAAGATCTATGGAGAGAATTGAAGAATTCAAATTATTTCTTCAAAATTATCATTGTTGTTTTATTAACTGGTCTCTTTAGTTTTTCTAAGCAGAGGGCCTTTTAATTTTCGTAGGAGCCAACTTTAAAAGTCCACAGGCTTTTAATCAAGTATACATATATATATATATATATATATATATATATATATATATATATATATATATATATGTGTGTGTGTGTGTGTGTGTGCGTGTGTGTGTGTGTGTGTGTGCGTGATTACGTGTATGTGTGTGCGTGTATGAAATGTATAAGTATAATTATGAAAATAATTATTGGCATAACTCTGCAGTCATCTCTATGTCGATTAAATCTACTCATTTCTCTTTCCATTAGAAATCTATATTCAGAAATTTGGTTTCATTTCCAGGAGCCCAACGGTTAATAAAGTCGATATTCACCAAGCGTAATCTGAAATTCCATCCGAACCCCTGGTAGCCAACAACCAAATACCGAACAGTTTCGCCTTCCGTGCCGATAAAGATATTAAAGACAGACGATTGAAATCTTTTGGTAGATAACAATCCCCACCCCCTAGAGAACGTTTTGATGTGACGTAATGTTTAAAACAAAGTCATCGTTGTTAGTATGGGTTTTCAGGTGGTTCACCTTATTTTCTCTACAAAGTTCTTGTCAGCTGCACCATGTTTTAAAAGTTTAACAGATCTGATTTTTGTTTTTATATTTATGCGAACCATTGTTATCATCAAGTTAGATTTGATACCAGGTCATTACACTCTGGCCATCTTCAAGTAGCCATTTTATTTGACTACAAACAAAATGAGGATGTATTTTAAAGTTTTAAATAGAGAATATATTCATTGTGGTAGAATTGTGGGTAAAGTGTTGCTATCCACTTGTGATCGTTGATTCAATCAAATTGCGTTCGTAATCCATACACTCTGGTTCATCCAAAAAATTGCTAGAAAATTACAAAATATTATGTCTCCAAATATATATATATATATATATATATATATATATATATATATATATATATATATATATATATATACGGTGCCCAACGTACATTAACGTACTGTCTCTTACATCGACTGAAATGAAAATTGAGCTTTCTGACAAACTTTATGCCGCACTTTATTCTGTATACACTACCAATGATATCGAATCATCTTGGAAGGCTCTTCAGGATGCAACACACTCTGCATCCTTGGAGGCTCTCGGCCTACCACATCGTAAACATCAAGACTGGTTTGATGACAATAGAACAGAAGTTCGGTAGCTTAGAGATCAATTGCACTCTTCTCATAAAACATGGATTGAGGACAAGAATAAGAAGATCGCTTACAAAAAGTGCTTAAGTCAGGTTCAAAGAGCTTTCAGAACCATGAAAGAGCGTTGATGATCTGAAAAGGCCATTGAACTTCAAAAAGCTTCAGATATAAAGGATCTAAAGGTTTTCTATGCTGGTCTCAAGCATATTCTCAGAACAATGGTGTTGCTCCAATCTCCATAGCAGATTGCGAAACTCTCTTGACGGCTAAGTCAGACATTTTAAATCGCTGGAAAGAGCATTTCGAAACTGTATTAAACACCACTTCTGTTACTGGTGAGGAAGTTATCACATCAATTGGGCAAAATCCTGAAATTTGGGAGTTGTCTTTTAAACCTACTTATCAAGAGGTAATTGACTCCATCAAGCAAATCTCATCTGGAAAATCACCTACTCCTAAGGATCCTATTCCACCCGAAGTGTATAAGCATGGTGGCCAAAGGTTGGTAGAAAAGTTTGCAGCTCCTTTTCGTGGAAATATGAAAGGCAGGATGTGTCCCACAGGATTATAAAGACGCCTCTATCAAACACCTTTACAAAAACAATGGTTCCAGGTGTGTCTGTGATAATCATCGGGGGATATCACTACTTTCACTTGCAGGTAAAATCCGAGCTAGGCTGATTCTAAACAGAATCATTATACACATTGTCGACGACATCCTATCCTGAATCGCAGTGTAGTTTTCGGTCGGGTCGGGGCACCACTGACATACCATTTTCTCTTCGTCAAATTGCAGAGAAGGTTCGAAGGAAAAACCAGGAGTTGTACATGGTGCTTGTGGACTTGGGGCCTTTGACACTGTGAATCGAGAGGCTCTTTGGCAAGTCTTGAGGAAACTCGGCATCCCAGAAAACATGCTAAAGATGATCATCTCCTTTCATGAAGGAATGAAAGCTAATATCGTGT